TGATGATGAGGATGGAAGTGAAGAAGAGTTTGAGGAATCCGATGAGGATGAAGAATTGGATAATAATGAGGAATCCGATGATAATGAGGAATCCGATGAAAATGAGAATTCAAACCAATTTAAAAATTGGCCAGAATGTTATGTCGTGATTTCATAAATACTCAGAAAGGATTTCACGTATGATATTAGGTAATGATTGGATTTTTTTTTTATTTTTTTTTTTACTTGATTGCATTTTTTTTTTTTAAGAATTAATCCAATATTTCTGCTATTCACTTAACAGAGGCATCTTTTTTTTTCATTCGTTATGAGAGATATAAAATTTATAAACTTGGGATAATTTTAGGTTTTAATGTAATAATCAGACGGTTATAATCCGTCAATACAGTCATAATAAACGTAAAATTTAATGGCTATTGAATATGTTCAAGTTCTGGTAATTCTGTTAAGCAATATCGGTTATTAGTATTAAGCTTTATATAGAAAAATTTTAATTTATATGATTGATTTAAATAAATCACAATTTATATTAATAACAATTAATTTTCCCGCATATATACGCAATAATTGTGAATCGTATAGCTTCCATATTATCCTCTTAAATAGTATATAGATTCTAATATTTTTGATGATATCAATTAATTAATCTCATATACCTTACATAATGTACTCTACTAATACAGCATCTGTTAAATGAATTTTTAATTGAAATCTATATTCACGAACAGGAGAGACCATTGATTTTATACAATTAATTCTACACCTGGTGTTTAATATATAAAATTATTATTTTACAATACCAGATCATTCCGTTATATAGTACATTGTTATGATTATTTATTATAATAAAACAGGTGTTGGATTATAATCATAACATATACTAGCGAAATGATTTGGTATTGTAAAATAATTATTTTATAAGTTGCAAACCAGGTGTAGAATTAGTTGTATAACATTAACGGTTTCTTCTGTTATACTCACGAGTTAAATTAATGTATTATTTATTTTTTTTTTAATTTATAATAGCAACTAGAGTTAATACCTGAATCCAGATTTAATTGTTATATCCGGATTTAATTGGATATATATGATAATAATCTAAGTCTAAACATCATTGTTAAATCTGGATATTGCACCTATATCCGGACATAACAATTAAATCCAGATTTATTGGATCCAGGTATTAACTCTAATAGCGACGATATGTAGTACATAATAAATACCAATACTGAAATAAAAAAATACAAATAAGGAAATGCCTTATCTGATTATCCAGATCGATTAGGTAGCTTTTTTTCAGAACTTAAATTTTACTATAGGGATAGTTGTTGAAAAAGGGGGGTAGCTTATTTTCGAAAAATAAAATTTTATAAATTTTAGATTTAAAATAAGGAGGTAGCTTATTTTGGAGGTAGCTTATTTTCGGAAACATATGGTAATTACAATAAATCAACTTATAATTGACTACCGAATACTAATAATCGACAACTGCTTACTAATAATATTTGGTATAAATTCGATAGCTGAATTCAAGTTGAATTGGCTATTTCAATTGATTGTTAATTAATAATCAATGATCAATTACTACATAATAACATTCGTACAAATTGAATTCTGAATGATTTTAACATATTATAAATTTATTAAAACAAATTAGATACAAATTTAAGAAAAAAGAAAAAAACAAAGTAAGAAAAAAACAAAAAAAAAGAAAAGAAAAAGAAGCGAATAAAATTTGAAAAAAAAACAAAAAAAAAAAAGAAAAAAAAAAATTAAACCCTTCATTTTCTTGAAGGTTCCTCTAAGGTATCAGAAGCTGGTCTTTTATCACGACTTCTGGCACTCCTCCCTTCGTCATCTCTCCATTCACCATCATCATCAGAACCCTCATCCTCATCCTCATCTAACTCATCCTCTTCATCCTTTTCATCCTCTTCCTCTTCTTCCTCCTCATCATCATTATCATCATCATCATATTCATCTCTTACTGCCCAATCAGACAGATTATCGGGTCGAGAAGCCATCAACGTATATGAGCTTTGGCAGAGACGTTTGAAATTAAATTGCACGGCTATATCGAAGACACTATGCAACAATTCAGTTAACTATTAAAATAAAAAGAAAAAATCAACATGCAAATAAATTAATTAAATTAGTATTCCTGTTATCGCCATTCAACTAATATTCAGTATGTCAAATGATATACTATGTATATTATTTGATATACTGAATATCAGTCGAATGGTGGTCAAATTTTTGTTAGTGTAACAGAAAAAAAAATTTTATATCTTTTTTAACCTCCAAGCCAAGCCATGGACGTTAACATACAGACAACCTTTTTCGTCCATTTCTTTACTAGGGTCTGATATTCAGGTGAATGGATATTATTATTGGCCAAAACACTGGTTAATTCATCCATATCATAGCCAGAAAGTCGAGTATCCTTTTTCGAATGAAGGTATTTAAACACCGAAGCTTGCTGAGACATTTTCTGTAAAATTAAATCAAAATATTGAAAACTAAAATTTAGTAAATTATGACTTAAAAATCGACTTAAATTCAGCTAGGTCGATTTTTTATGACTTAAAATCAACCTAACTGAATTTAGATCGATTTTAAGTCATAATTTATAATATATATATAACTTATACATCACCTCTTCGTTAGTTTTTGTGGATCTGTTCATCGAAATAGGTGCTTCAGGTTGGATCCCGATGTATACTCTGAGTATTGTAAGACGATTTGAGACGCTGTCTCAACATATTAGCCAACTCAGTCTGATTGATGTCATATTTCTCTCCCAAAAGATCGACTAGCATAGGGATTGTATTTTGGCTTAGTCGATCTTTTTGTTCATTCCACTTCAACTCGTAGTTGAGGCCAAAATTCCCACCTCTTTCATTGAGGATAAGAAAGAGATTGCTCTATTAATAATAAATTAATTTTGATTTAAAAAAATAAATATAAATATATGTCGAATATAATTAGTATATGTCAAATATAATTAATTACAGCATTAATATTATTAGTTTTAAATTTAAAAAAAAATATAAAGAAATATATATATACTCGAAAAGCTTTTCTTCTAGCCCTATTGTTTTCGAAACCAAGTTGGCTTGCTACTTCTTCGTTGCTTGGAGGAGCAGGCCTTATTTGCGTAGGCCTGCTTTGTGCAACTAAGGCTGACAAGCCTTCAGCTGCACTTTCCCATGGCTATTTACCCTGACCTGAGGCCTGGCGGCTTAATATTTATAAAGCCTCGATATCCTCGGCGAGAGCAGAATAGGAACTTCAAAGAAGTTGAACCTAATCTTCTAGATCCATAATTTTTCAGTTCTGATCCCTCTGGATACCACATAGGTCATCGATCTCAGTCTACAGTAGTCGATTTTCTAATATTAAAAAAATAATAATAATATATAGTAATAATAATAATAGTAATAATAATAATAATAATAATAAAA